AGATAAAATTGCAACAAAATGAACTTGCCCAACTTAAATTAAAGGCGTCGGTCGAGTGGCTGGTAAATAAGCGGGTAGATAATGTAAATTGAGTGGAGCAATTGATTTACAAATACTAGAGAAATTTTTATTAATAATATTAGTAACGTCATCTTTAGAACAACCAGGTATAGTATTATTAGAATTGGTAGTCTTGCTATTATTATTGTTTTATTCTTTATGACACTTGGTAGGGTTAGTACACTTAAGATTCATTAGAGATTTACAATAGTGATTCTCTTTTTTCATGAGAAATAGCGTTATTTACCAGGTTGCGAAGACTACTGTTATCATGGAACATTTTGCCAGTCGTAGGTTGTAATCCACTGTTCAAAAGGAAATACCAAGGAGTGACGATACGGTTACAGACGCAGACTTGCTTTTATTGTGATCGCTACGGCTAAGGTGCCAATCTCTCTGGAGAATTGTACAGATTTGTGTAATGAAGACAATTAAATCTAATAAGGAATTATTTTTTGTTTGCAAGGTTAACAAATTGAGTTAATTAAACATTAGGTTCAAAATCAGCTAGATCAATGTTGTTAAAGTCTCCCATTACTCGAGTGGGAGCAGTAAAATCACTTGTACGAATGTCATCATCAGTATCGACGATGTGGTCAATCAACGCATCAGTAAGGCTGCTCATATCAAAATGCAGTTACAATTACAAATATAGTGGGCACTGTAAAGTTTGAAGGTAATTCCATCGCAATTAAATATCGACACACCACCACCTTTCCTGTTGCACCTATTTTTAGTGTAATTCTGATAACCAGAAGTGTTAGCGAAATAGATCTCTGAATCACCGAGCCTTGTCTCAGTCAGGACGGATACATCAACATTGTATTTCTTAATCGTCAATTCAAATTTGTCAAGTTTGTTTCTAATAGAGCGAGCAATGACGAGGAAAAGTTTTGAAAAAGACAATCAGGCATTATGGCTTTCAATTCCACTTTTAAGCCGATGATCTTCAACTTATGTAACTTTTAACCTCAGCAATGCTAGCAGCACTCTCTCAACTTTACAGACCTTATCCCTCTGTGCTGCTAATATTCAGCAGTTGTTGTTAGGCAACAAACTGAAGCTGAACAAAAATCAGACCGAGTTTTTGATTTGTGCCTCTAAGTGTCATCTTTCCATTGATCATGTTAAAGGTATAAGCCTGCTGATAGGGGACACCATTAATTATTCTTCCGGAAGTGTCCGCACTCTTGGTGTGACTTTTGACTCGTTAGCAGTATCAAATGTTAGTAAGGCTGTTAAGTTCCATCTAGGAAACTTATTGAGAATCAGAAAGTTCATAGGTAGGGATACTTGCCATGCTGCTGTGAGGGCACTGGTTCTTTCAAGACTGGACTACTGCAATTCACTGCAAAGTGGTTTTTTAAAGAGATTTATACACCCTTCAGAAACTTCAAAATTTTGCAGCTAGACTAATTTTTTCTTGTAAATCACGTACTTATACATCTCCCTTTATTCGTGATCTTCTTTGGTTGCCTGTACAGGAAATAATTAAATTCCAACTCCTCTTTGTTTTCAAATCCCTTTCTGGCCTAACAAGATCTTCCAACTCCATCCAACTTGTTCGACCGGTCTACCATGAATGTATTGGTGACAATTTATTCCCTCCAATTGCTGCCCAAACTTTGGAATGGTCTACCTAATTATTTAAGATATTTATTTGTTCTTTATACTGGGTTTCCTCTTCAGTAACAAATTACTGTTCTCCCAAAGGGCCCAGTACACATAAAACAGTACACGACACACAAGATAAACATACACACATGATGTTTTACACAAACTGAATATGAGGTTTAGGAGTGGAGTTGTTTTGGTCGTGAGAAAAAGTCCTGCAACTGACAGGAATTGAACCCATGACCCTGGGATTGGAAATCAAGCATCTTAACCACCAAGCTATTCAACCCAACTCATTGTAATTCGCTTAGGCCAGTTCAAAGGCCATCTTAAAACACACATATTTCAATAGTTCTCTCAACTTGCTCGATCGTATTAGTTTATTGTTTTCTTTGTTTTATTATTCTTCTACTGCTTTATTCCATTAGTTAAGTTACCTCACTTTGAATTGGTTTGGTTCTATGCAAGCTTTACTTAGGGGGATTTTTTTCCCTTTTTTGACATATTGTGGAGAGTCGCTTAAAGCGTTTTGTAACTGAAAAGAAAAGCGCTACACAAGTAACAAGTAATCCAGAATGTAGTGGTTAATTGTCACTAGGTTATTATAGGGAACAGTGTAAATTCACTGTTCCCTTGTTATTCCGCTCACAAACACTTTTACAGTTACGCTTAGGCCAATACCTAAGTCTAGACTTGTTGTTGTTACCAATATCAATCACAATTTCAGTCCTTCGAATTTTGCGTTTACCGCGCCCTTTGAAACTTTTAGGTTTTCTCTGGGTACAAACACTGAAAAATGACGGATTTCTGTAAAAAGACTTGCCCCGATTAAGTGTTTTCAAGTCATCAAATAAGATGAAATATGGAATTATATTAACTTCGTGAGATGGGGAGCTGTATTAGTTGCTCAGACCTGTTATTATTATTCTTTTAATCTCTAACTAACAAACCTTTCTAAACGATTTATAAAGCTAAAAAAAAAAAGAAGATGTTCATGCGTGTTATAAACTATTTACGTTCTTGAGACTGCAGATTCCGCTGCTGTTGATATTTTCTGCCATTGCCAATGCTGTCGCGGCAGCCTCACCACCTCGCTTCTGCCGTTGCTGTCGTCATGGCCGAAGGCGGTATTACGTAGAGTTTCCGAAAATGTTTGTTTATGTGTCCGATAAATAAACACCTCATTTTAGAACTTTACTTTGACCCCTTTAAATTTTAAGATAACAGTATTTCATTAACATATGATGTGCCAAACGTGGTAAAGACTTCGTGAAGTACATATGCATCTAGAAATAAATTTATTTATTTTTTTGTTTGTTTGTTTGACCTTCCGTCCGACGGTACGTCCGTTCTTTCATGCATCCATCCAAAAATACGTCCGTACATTCATGCATCCGTCCGTCCTGTCCTGTCCGTCCTTCCGTTCATCCATCCATCCATCCATTCGTTCCTTCGTTGGTTCGTTGGTTCATTCATTAATTCATCTATCCGTCCCTTGATTCATACATTTATTATTTTTGTATTTAGAATGTGCAAAAAAAATGTATTTATTGATGACATTTTACCAGTAAACATTGCTAATTAAAATCTGAATTATATTATGCAACCGTTGTTGCTAAACTGAACAATCGACTATGTTTCGTTGGGTCAAGTGGATAGCTTATTGGAAATTAACGCTGATTAATGTACTCTGGTTTAGGTTAATTTTGGTTGTCAAAGAAATCTATTTTACAAACAGCCATAAGAAAATAATACTTAACGAAAAATTGTTGTCAACAAAACGAATAGTCGAATACGGCCAATGTTAGTTAAGCCTTAATTATTTGACCTCGTAATATTCCAATGAAGACTCATTTACAAACTGGTTTATAAATTCCGCACTATTAGGTCTATCTAAAACACGCTAGATTCAGGTGCTGCATCATGATTGTGTGATTTTGCTTGCATTGGTAATCTTATACAGATATTGATTTCTTATAAATGGAAAATTGAACTAGATTGAAAAGCCTACAATTAACTTTCATACTGCGATTTCTTTATTCAACAAGCGTGACATTAGCCGTGAAAGCATTCATTCAATGGTTAATAAATGTTAACCAAATCATGGTCGTATGAATGAATGATTATTTTAATTTACACTATTTTTATAAAGCAAATTCAAGTGAAATAATTATACAATTGTTATTGTAAATAATGTTTATTTGGCAAATTACCAATGGCGATAATTTTCTTTGACAAAAAAAGTTTTATGCCATATACGCTTGTGATTTGTCTATATGGTTATGATATGATGTCATCATGGGCATGTTTAGCAATGCCACGTGTTTTTGTCAAATAGGCAGGGCTTAATGCAAGAAAACCTGTTTAACACCTCACTTTACTGCTCGTACGATAAATTGTATTTATTTATTTGTTTGTTTGTATGTTTTTCCGTCCGTCTGTCCGTCCGTCCCTCAGCCCATCTCCGTCAGGCCGTCAGTCCATCCGCCCGTATTATGTTCGTGTTCGTTTGTTTAATAATGAATTCATTCATTAAGTATAATCACAAAAATAAAATAAGATGTTTGACTCTATTGAACATTACTATTTATTAAAACTTGTAAATAATTATATTTAATTTTGTAATTAAAATATGTTTGCTTGATCGGTATTTCAATAATCATTGTGTAGATATTAACATTATTTTTTTTATTGATTTATTTAGTTTTTTTTTATAATTAGAAGAAAATAATTGTGAATAATAATTTTGTAATGTAATTGATAATAGTACTTATTTTGTAATGGCTGCGTAGTTTGTAGCAATAATTCGTAAAAAAATGTTTTCATGCAGCTTTTGAATTCTGTTAGCCTACAAATGTTTTTTACTTCATGTTGGTAAATATTATAATTATTATTTTCTGTAATTTAATCTAAATTATATTACCTGAAAAAATGTTGTTGCTAAACTGACTAATCGGCCATTTTTGTTTTCGTCACGTGGATATCTTATTGCAAAGTAAAGCTGATTAACGCACTCTGGTTTGCGTTAATTAGGTTAAATTAAGTCTATTTTACGAACCAGCAGAATAAAAATATTACTCAACGAAAAAGTGTCAACGAAACGAATAGTCGAATACGGCACATATATAGTTAAGCCATAATTATTTGACCTCGTGATATTTAGATGAAGTATCATTAACAAACTAGTTGATAAATTCCGCACTATTATCTACAGACATGCTAGATTAAGGTGCTGCATCATTTTGTGAATTTTCTGGTATGGTAACCTTATACAGATATTTCACGTAAATGGACAATTTAACTAGATTGAAAAGCCTACGATTAACTTTCATACTGCTGTTTGTTTATTCAACAATCGTCAAACACTAAGTGACAATAGCCGTGTGAAAGCATTCATTCAATGGTAAATAAATGTTAACGTCGTATGAATGTCCGAATTTTTAAAACTATCCTTATAAAGCAAAATTATGTGAAATAATTATACATTTGTTATTGTAAACAATGTCTATTTGGCAACTTACCAATGGCGGATATCAAGTTTTGGAATTGAAATTTACTCGTTTAGTTTAAAACTCTGTCCACACGACCAAAATTTTCAATGACAAAAAATGAAAAAAAAAAAGATGTATACCATATAGTCGTAATTTGCCTATAATATGGTCATGATGTGATGTCATCATCACCATTTTTAGGAATACAAACATGCTTTTGTCAACTACATTTTCATTGTCTAGACAGGGCTTAATGAAAGATACTTTTTTAACACCTCAATTTACTGCTTGAGAAAAAAAAGTTTCCAAAAATCCATTCTAGAGATTTTATTACTTAACATTAATTATCATTCAGCTACCGCAACACATTATGTTTTACAAATCGATTGATCATATCGTGCTGCTTGTATTAATATAACATAGATTAAAACACAAGACTTTAAAATTAATGCTAGTTTTTTTTCTTTTTTTTTTCTACTTCCTATTATGCCAATAAAAACAACTTGTTTATATAATTATTAATACCAAATTTAGTTGATAATGTCCCAAAATACCAAATCTAAACTACCACACTTTACAAGCTCTTACAATCCCTAGTATTCAATTAAGTAGATATACAATACTTCCAATTATAACAAATCATTAATATCCTACATCAATGCACCTTTTAAGAATGTCTATCAAATTACCGATTAATCTATCAAAATTTGGCTGGAAATATTGGCTTAGTTATACGTTTACGATTTTAACAACGATGCTTAAAAGAAAAGAATCGTAGATTATACACAATGGTAGAAACCATGACCAATTCTGAATTTTGATAAAGATTGTAAACATTAGAAATTAATACAAAAAAAAGCTCTATATAGGCCTATGTCAACATACACTTCTAACCACCTTCATTCGCTTCCCTGCATTTAATTCTGCAATCATGTATTGAAATTTTATTTTGAAAAAAAAATACCAACTTAGTATTATTTTCTTGGTAAATCTACAAAAATGAGAAAGTTCCTCCATTGAAACTTGCAAGTTCAATATTGAAAAAGTTTTTAACTATAATGCACTGACCACAAAAATGTAACTTCACACGTATATGCGTGTTTCTACTATTTAGTTTTCGATACATTGATGGGATTGGTTACGTTGTTATTTTTCCCACGACAAAAACGCTGGATCGCAGCAATGATTCCAAATTCCAGAAATTCGATGACAGTGATAATACTCATGCCGCATAGCAGACCCATGTTGCCACCGATTTCAGCTGTACAGAAAACAAGATGTAAAACGATCAAAGAGCAATAAAAAAAATTAATAATACAATATTATAATTTAGGAGATAATTACATTTAAAATGTTATTATTTCTCTCAGCATCCTTGAAAACCTATCAAGTAAATTTTATAAGGGAAAATGTGAATTGATTTAAAGTACCATAGGACGCAAAAACAATCATTGAGGAGTAATGATTTGATGTGAACATTATTGTGTGACATGTATCTATCCATTCAGCATATGTATTTTCAGTCATTCATTTATTCTTTAATCAGCCAATAACATAAAGAAGTGGATACAATACAATTAAAAGAAATTAAACAAATACTTGAGACCAATATAGAACCTTAGTTGGCTGGGATTAGCTATAGTGTGAAAAACACTCTGGCTCTCAGTCCTGTTACTCCTGTTTTAGGTTTTTTTTTCAATATATATATATATATATATATACTGTC